CATACCTTGATAATCTAAATGCGTTTGATAGAATGTAGGATTAAAGTACTTCAAAGTTCGCCTTAATTGTTCATTGTGACTCATATTTAGTAAATTTTGTAGGTGTCATTGTTTCAAACTGACTCGTACATATTTAAACTAAAATTGCTTGTATTGAGAGCTAAATATTAATTATGGTTATTTTGGTGTGAGTCCTATTATGGATATGTAATTTTTGTTCACTCTTCTCTTAACCTGGAGAAAATATAACGTTATCTTCAAAATATTTCGATTACAAGACGAATATAGGTACTTCAAGATTTCCAAGAACATGAATTCATAAATAATGTTATTTATTACGAACAACATAGGAGAGATCTTCAGAAAATATTATCAAAGTAAATAATGAACGATTCGTTTAGACATGACGTCTCTTTTCTACGTGTTGTTTAGTACGTTATTGTGTTCGAAAATACAATTTTTGGTTAAAAGGAGACGTTGAACTGAATTGTGTGGACCGTGCGGTTGACAGAGTATTTATATAAACAGTCCAGCCCCAGGCCTATTGTCATTGGCATTATAGACCGTCCTTTAATCTGCCGAAAACAATTTCGCACGAATCGTTAAGCTGTTATTGTGAATATTGTTTGTCTTTTGCCCAATCGGCTGGTCGGTTTGTGAATCTGTCTGGAGGATTATCTAGCAGATAATAGCTGTTTATTGAAAATAATAGGTGATTTTGTACACAATACCTACTCTTTGAGATATCTGAAGAATTTAAACTGGTCTAGAGGGCAAATAGTGCAATGATAGTTGAAGATCTTTTTACCACATCTATAAATATTCTTAAGGCCATCAAGTTCAGTTTGTAGGGATGATTGAGAAGCATAACATTAAATTGCTGCGAATCTTTTTAAAATGGTTGCTTTTGATAACCACGTGCCCCGCTTAAATAAATTTAAACCTGACAAATATCCAAATCCTCTTTTATAAAATAAAAAAAAAATACACACGCCAACCTTTTTGGTATAGAAAACACAAGGTTTTATCATCGAATTCTATATCGGCGGATAGCTTTTGTCTCTGTGTGTTCAAAATTTTGATAAAACAGATTAAAATCCAAACATCCACACACAGACCACACTTTTGTACAAAGTGGGCGTGTTTTATTTATAGTCTGTTGTGATCATTGCACAATTGTATGAAAAATGTTTTTGTGAATCCAGTGACGGGAAATAATGGGCGTTTATTGTAGGGATATTTTTTGCTGCGTTTTGCCAAACGGTGGTCGAAAGAGCAATTGTGTTGTAGGTTTTGTCTACAAATTTTAGGCACGAATACTGGATTTGGTGACGTTCTGTGTTCAATGCAGAATAGTGGGTTAAAATTTGTTGTTTTTATGGCATTGAACTATCGGGTATAGTCAATGGCTCGGAAGCAAAAATACAAGTATCAAGTCAGACTGAAAATAAAGATGCTACTGAAACTAGCTTATAATGAAGCTATATTAATATGTTTGTCATGTATTTTTTGGCTAATCTTCATAGAATTGATTAAAAATGCTGTTACTTATTATTTATTTACCACAGCTAGTTTCTGAACCTATGACCAATAATGGTTGTATTCAGATCCGTTTAACATCCCATATTTAAGAGCAACGGTACATTCACTAATCTGCTACATAATTACATGCAACACGTTTTCTTAAAACCTTCACAAACCATTGCTCAACCATTTCTAAGAAAATTGTCGCAGAACCGTCCACTCTAGTTCAATATCGACGCGAAACTTCAATAATCGCGTCGTCCATTTTCTATAGTATTAATAGAGTGGGCCCTTGCAACGATAATAATGCCTATTTGCTGTACTATTGTCGACGTGGTTTCTGAATGGAAGGCGGAGGTAGGCACGTCATTATTCTGTCAGCCGAATGTGCTGGGTTCGATAGGGATTGTCGAAACCAGGTATCGATGTTAAATTTTGTCCATGTTAACTTTTTTGATAAAACATTGTTATTTTATATTTTTGGCTTTTTTTAGGTTATATTCGACACAGGCACATACACACACCTTCATCTCCATCATATGGAGTGTTGGATGTTCACGAAACGTTCTGCCGCGCACAACTTTGGAAAACTTTGGAATGATCTTTTAATTTGGCAGCTGTATTTCCAAGCCGACCTTAATAACATCAAGCATTGATCATACTTATTCGTAAAAGACTGACAATATGCATGGCTGCAATTCCTCTCTTAGTCATGGGCGGCACTGATTGCTTATACACTCCAATTTTGGATTTGTTATGCACTAGGCAAATCCAAAATTATAATCAAAACTGGTGAAAGATAAAATTGACGATATATAATATTAAATTGGTGCCAAATGATTATTATAAACAACCAATAAAACAAAATATTATTTCAAGAATCAAAATGTAGAACCAATTGACATTTAAAAATAATATATACTTGCAAATCATAGCACATCGATATAACTTTTTTGATCCCATCCCTAAATTGCAACATTATAGTTCCCGCATTTTTTGCGCAAGCCCGCAAGGATTACCAAACAATGTGCGTAGACGCAGGCCACACATCATAGCAACGAGCGAAGTTTTTGCCGTCACATTTAATGGGATTCCTGACTTTATTGTACAACTTTTAAAGAAATATTATTGTAAGTTTAATTCATACATCAGTTGGAAATTATATAAAAATAGATTTGAAAGTGATTGAGTTTAGGGGATTAAAGATGATCGAGCGAATCACTTGGCCGTTATTTTATTATGTTTTCAAATAATATTATGTTCACTCCGTCATTTATTTACCTGTCATAAGTTGGGTTATGTCGAATAAGGTGCTAAGTTTAAGTCAGATCAGGCACTATTTAATTACTTCCTAGATATCAGAAGACTTTTAGTATCCACCTAAAGTATGTAAAAGTCATCGAATGTTACATAATTTAATGTAAAAGGACACTACTTGTAATCTAGTACAGTGAGGTCGGTTAATATTGTTGTTATTATCCTTAATCATTGGAACAATATCAGTCCGTATATTTTTATCTCTATGCAGTCTAGGATAGGTAATTTAAGAGGATATGACCATTCATTATTCGATGACTAATTCTATTTTTACACTCATGTACTAGGGTGTGACATTTTCGGGTTAAAATTAATTTGTAACTGACAGTGACAACAAAAGTTTAAAGGGGCAGTACAAGTATTTACTTATAAAAATATATTTACAAGTTGCGCTAAAAATCTTAGTGCTTTTAAAATCCTTATCAAATTGACTATATATCATCAGCTAAATAAATGATTTGGTCCTTTAGTAAACATTCTCCAAATCACAATTTCTTATTGAATTTTGATCTCTGATTTGGCACACATTATTGTCAATAAGGTTATACTACTTACATCGCTATACATAGAACGTATTAAAGTGTATACAAACGTTATAAGCATTAATCACAAAGCAGGTATAATTTGACATAGACGCAAGTGATATCACATAAATAGTAAAACAATCATTTATATACTCATTACTTAACAGTGCAAAAACATAATATTCTATACTACGTTAAAAACTAAGTACCGTGCACCCATATTCTACATACATTATATGTATTATATTTTTTCTTAGATGGTAACCGAGTTGTTACACAGTGTTACACATGTGTCCCCCACTTGATTCTTTTTGGAAACAATTTGCAACATTGTAGGCTTTCGGGGCTAGAACTTCGGCTGCTTAGTAACAGATGGCGCTGTTCTACATTTGATGTCTTCTGATCGCAAACGTAAGAAAATAGGTCTTTGTGAGTTTTGTAGGCTCCTTGGTATCAATGAACTATTTTTATTTTGTTATAAAAATTGCTGTATACTTACGTAGTTATAAAATCTGATTATTCAGTTGTAGGTATGAGATAAAACATGGGGAAATTGATCGCCAAATTAAAAAAAAATTAAGAGAACCTTATTATTGTTTTCTTTTTCTTTTTCTTGATAAAATACTTATTTGTAGAGTATAAGTAATTACACGATCGAGTTATGTTAAAACATCTCTTTAGTGTAATAAAATACGCTATCAAAAAATTTGGAATACAAACGGTTTTCGACTTTTGAACATCACACTAAACAATATTAAACCATTCATAAGAGATTTTCATAAAGCTCAAAACGCAAATGAAGCGCATTAATATAGTAACAGAGAAACATATAGAGTCGAATTAATTTAAAAGCAATTTTTAGTTTGCAGTGATTATGTTTGCTCAGTAAAAAAGGAACATATTATATTATTTCGACTGCACGGTTGGTGCGGTGGCTGGGCAACTGGCTGCCGTGCAACGTGTCGCGGGTTCGATTCCCGCACGGAACAATTCTTTGTGTGACCCACAAATTGTTGTTCCGGGTCTGGGTGTCATGTGCATGTGAAATTGTATGTATGTAACCGCACCCACGACACAGGAGAAAATCCTAGTGTGGGGCAACGTTTAAAAAATTGATTTGATTATATTTATTTATCTCATTATTATTATAAAAAAAAACTCAAACTTATATTAATATTCATTTTGTTACGTAGTAATTTATATGGGAATTCTGATCGCCATAGACACTTTCAGGCTACAAAAACACGAGTTTTTTTTAAACAGGTGCTTTTAAACTTAGTTGGCCCTTGCCCAGCATTTCGAGTGTTTGACCTAAAAACTAAATTCCTAAATCTAAAACCCTTAAACCATCTTCCAGTCTGTCCAGTCTGTCGACCTAATAATCGTTTGCCGCCGAAATTAAATCATAATATTCGCTAAACAGTTGTATAATATATTAATATAGTAAAATTTAACTTTGTATATTCTTAGTTTAGATTATTGCTTTTTAGTATTTTGTAGGCGTTTATCTATGAACATAAAAATCAAAATGTTTTTAACGTATATTTCTTAGCTACTGCGTTGGCCATTTTCGGTCGTATTCAAAGTTAAAATTAAAGTGTATGTATTTATTTTTCACATTGGCCAAATTGCAAGATGTACGACGGTAGGTTGGTTACTGCATAACTCGGTAACATGTCAAAATATTGATTATCTACTGTAATATTTTTATTTTGAAAGAGAACCAAAGTCATGTCCATATCCTCTTCTGTTCTAAGGCATCTTTGCAGCCAAGTTACCGCGGATTCCTGCAGCGTAAAGGCGGGATTATTTGACGCCTCGTTGGCTACGATGGCTAAGCAATCCACCCGGATTATGACTACGACTACGTATACGACGGTTACGTTAGAACATTTCCTTTATGTGAACATCACATTTTCACGTCCAATGAATTGAAAACTTTATTTTATTTTTAGTAAAATTTATTTTGGGTTTAAGCAGGTATCAAAATAAAATCAAGAACCGAAATTAAAGCTGCGTTTAAATAATTTTCACTATGAATGTTACTGTTGTGGCATACCATCGTCCCATCCATTGGCAGCCACGACCACTCTGCCAAGAGTGTATCCACTAAGAAGATGTTACTGTACAACGGTAACAAACATCTTTAATAATGAAAAGTTGTGTTCCTCTTAACTACATCTACATCTTACTAGAAACAAATAATTATCTTAATCAACACTAATAAATCATTCAATCTTTAATCATTTGAAAGCAATGTGTGGACGTCAAGGGTTAAAATCCTCACCTTAATTTAATTAAACCTTAAATGTTAAGAAAAGTTTGGGTAAAAGAAACTCCTTAAAATGTGTTACGTTCAACCAGATTCGGCTTGAATCTGATAAAACTCGGGCTCGATCCATTTCAAAACTTTCCTTTTATCTGGCCACAGAGAGGATGGACCGGAACGCCCAAAATTTGTATACATTTATTGCTGAATGGAAACTTCGCTAAATTCTATTTTATATTCAATCTTTCAAGTCTGTGTTCATTGACGATAAGGAGGAACGTCCTTCTTCAGTTTTAATCTAACGAAATTAGGTTTGTTTTTGACTTGGAAATTGGATCTTATGTTTTAGTGAGCTTATTATACAGATTGCTGATTTGCTTATTTAGGATACTTTATGGACTTCTACAGAGGACTTCTACATAAAATGGATCGCTAAATGTGTGTTAACATCAAATCTTGAGAACAGCTGACTGAATAGGGTAGGCTAACCAAATTTTTTAGATAGGTTGGCAAACGAAAGAGCGAATTACCTGATGGCATGCAATTAATTAGCATCTCAAATAGACAATCTTAATACCAAAGGTGCTACTACTACTACTACTACTACTTCGTTACTCTTAATCTAAAGAAAAGAAAAGAGAGGCCCTGGTATCACTCGGTATCAGTCAGTCGGCTCTCCCACACTTAAATTAATTAGATTGGCTTAGAGTACGGTATAGTGGAAGCGATACCACGGAAAAAAACTAAAGGCTGTATCAGACTCTTACTGACTAGAGACCACCCTGATCGTTCTCCGGCTTCTTCTTCTTCTCTAGACCAAAGGCTGCAGTACATTATTGAGCTTGACCCTAATTCCAGCTAAATATTGGCCCTGTTGGGCCACATCTGTGGTTGATGGACTCTTTGAGGCGCACGTGGAACGTGCTTCTGATTCGACAGTAATATGAAAAGAAATGAATAAGATTACGATAAAAATATTATTGAGGTTAAGAAAGTTACGCAATTTTTAATTATTGATTATTTCATTATTATTAATTCTTATATAGGTAATTGTATGTATTTATGTGTAATTGTTTTAAACTGTTTATTTTCAAACATTCATCTTGTACATTCTCTGATTTATTATATAAAAAACCTTTATAATTTATGAAGTTAACTGCTTATAACTTATTTTGAAATTTATTACCAATTCATTATTTACCTTTAGAGTAATTGTTTTTGCATCACATTTTTTTATCATGGGCACTTTTTTGGTTAGTTTTAAACTATAAATGCATTAGAAAATGATGATACTAGCATTCCAGAATTTGAACCGATCAAATATGGCAACAGCAGCGTTCTTGGTTGTAGTTGGACTATTTTGCTTTGACAGCGTTGCAGGTAAGGGATTTTTACCGTAATTACTATGAATCAACAATACTTAACCACGAGGAAAATTTCAGTAGAAAATACTGAAAGTCTCCCTAAACAGCTTTTTGGTCGGTTTTGGATCATTTTCATCAGCCTATAAGTGCCCACTGCTGGGCAAAGGCTTTTTCTTATACGAAGAAGATTTGAGCATTAAATCACCCCGTTGCTCAAGGCGGATTGGCGATTTCAAACCTATAATTAGAAATTATAAGCCCAGGCTTCCTCACGTTGTTTCCCTTACGTTATTTGGGGGATATTTCCTGACTGTATGTGAGTGGTGTCTAAATACTCGAAAAAAAGTCATGTTGGTCTTTATCGGGTTTCGAACCCAACCACGACATTTTAGATGATTAGTGCTAGTCCACTAAAAACAGATGGGGATTTGACGATTTGTCGTTTAGGAGAGATTATATATCTTATTATTAAGGTATGGTGGGAAATAGGCGAGCCTTTAATGGAACTAAGGAACGCATTGCATCTACTTTCAGACTTGCAAGATTGATCAAATATTTTAGTAAAAAGGCCGGACATAAGAGATTGTGTAGTGATCTCAATCCACGCAAATTTAATGTTAAATTCACAAAGGTCGTAATTTTGGCCTATGAATAGGCAATCAAAAATTCTAACTTTACCCGGTTTTAATCTCTTAACATAAGTAGGTCCAGCTTCGACTGTCAATATTTTATTTTACATAAACGTGTCGATTTTATGTTTCATGAAAATCTTATCATGTTAACGGTAAAAGGAATACAGAAAATTATCCAAATAAATTTTGTTATTAACAATTATATTTGAAAGTATTTCATTAGTGGAAAATCTACTCTAAATTTTAATTACTTCTAATTCCAGGTGCCAAGGTCCAGTGTGATTTGCATGACAGTGACTGCGTCACTAAAGTTTCTAAAGTAATATTTCCTGAATTCGTTAATGGTATTCCTGGTGTAGAACCTTCTGATCCTTTGCGCCAAGAGTTGATTGTAGCCGATCTTCCTACAATAAAATACACTATTAAGAACGGTGCTTTGTCTGGATTTAAGAAATGTGGAGTTGAATTAATAAGGTTAGTAATAATAATTTGTCTTTTTATGTACCATTTCATTCCTAAAATATTTTAAATTAAGAAAATTGTTGAGTACCTAAGTAAACTTGGAAAAAATAAGGGTTGGGTATTTTTTTTTTTGAAAGTCAAGAAGTATGTACTTCTCAATAAATAGCATGGCAAAATAATATTATATGAACGTCAGTTTGATATCTATGTAAAATCTACTATATGTGAAATATTTTACAATTTCAGATTCTCGAAGGATTTAACATACGAATATAATATAAAATGCCCACTAGTTACTATCGAAGGCGAATATGAAATAAAGGGTAATATAGGCAAGAATTATATTGAAGGCAAGGGTACTTTTAAAGCTGATCATTGTAAGTAGAGTTTTTAGTAACGTATTTTTTTTATATATTATTTTTCCAAAATGATAAACTAGTTAATTCAATGACGATAAAGAATAAGGATCTCTTAAAAACAGTAACAACCTAGTAAAGGTCACTTTTAATAAATAATTGATCACCACGCTTTACTCTAGGTTTTTTTTTTTTGTGAGGGGAAAATCAAATGACTTCTCCCGCCCAGGGCCGGGCAGGAAGGAGTTTAAGACTCTTACTGACTAAAAACCCCCTGTTCCTTCTCCTGCTCTGAGCCGAGGTCGCGGTGCTTCATTGCGCTTACCCCGCAACCCCGGCTGAACATCAGCTCTACAGGGCCCCGTCTGTGGTGGTCTATTGGCTCTTTGAGGCGCGCGCGGAACGCTACGCGCCGTACGCTCTGGCCTGGTTCTGGTCGGGCGGCGAGCTGCCCTTACTCGCCGACCGCAGACCCGCGCTTACGGTGGCCGGAGATCGTCCCTTGATCACGCTTTACTCTAGATAGATTGGCAATTACTCACTTATGACAATAAAATTAAAAAATAGTTTGTCACTTCAATATTAACTAAACAAGACTTCGAAATATACAAATCACCAAAGTCCCATGGGTCTTTACTAAGCATCGAGCGTTTTTACAAGCTTTCATTTGTGAGAGTTGATCTAAAATAATGAAAAGTTTTAATCTTCCAGACGACTATCATTTCCTCTTGCATGGCAACTACGAGATAATGAAACGCGATGGAAAAACATACGTACGTTTTACAAGCCATACGCTCAATCTGGATGTGAAAGGAAAAGTGGTATATAACCTCAGAAATCTGTTCAATGGTGACAAGCAAAAATGTAAGACTATATTAACAATTTTATTGATTTGTGTGATAGGCCGTATAACAAGCTGACAGTTTGTATTTGATGGTAAGCGGTCGTCGCATGGCTACTCACAATACCAGAGATCCAACAAATGCGTTGAGGGCTTTTGGGGATCTGTAAGACCGTGGTATCCAGTCAGCCATAACCAATCTAATCATGCCAAGGCTTGGTCTTCCCTTGTATCTCTATATTATATTAACAATTCTTTGTATCTATGCAGGTAAATTGCTCATAATCATGTATGTTATTATATCTACTATTTCAGCGGACGCTGCTCACGAAATGATGAACGAAAACTGGAAAGAAGTGGACCAAACATTGCGTCAACCAGCCATGGAAGCATTTATAAAAGTATTTAAGAAAAATCTCAATGAGTATACAAAAATAAAAGCTGTTGAAGATGTGCTTAATTATGATGAATAAAACTGTAAAACGAAGACCGATGTAATTAAAAAGAAAATAAAGGAAATATCAGCAACAAGGAAAGTTCTTTTATTGTGTGTTGTTTTGCTGGACTACCTCGTTCGTTGAGTGGTTGCAAGAAGTTTTAGGTCTAATCCTCTAGCGTTTCTATTATTATGACATACGGTAGCAAACGAGCTGCTTAATAATCTTATAGTAAGCAATCGGCGCCGCTCATACAAAAACACAACACCAGAGGATTTTTCCTAGTGCGTTGCCGTCCTTTTAGAAATTAGGCATTTGGGGAGTCATGGGTTAAATTTGAGCGTTCTGCAACCTCACTCATATGGCGAAATAAAACGTTTTTTTCTTTTGTATATTTGAAAATTATTTATGAATAAACTGCTTAGCAAGGAAGTTATCAATCATAACACGATATTGCACTTTAAAGAATAGATGATTAAATTAAATTATCGATCTAGTCAATTAACTAAATTGTGATTCTCTGTAGAAAGAAATTCTAACTTTCTACCTACGGAGTATACATACATATAAATAAAAAGAAATAATATTTTGTGTATGGAACGACCTCTAAAAAAATGTGTTAATTTTCCTAATAATCTCTTAAAAGGAAGGAAACGGAACTCTTAGAAGAGTTTAAGCTCCACGGGCTTCCATGCATTCTTTTAATACCATAATTATGAATCTCAGTAATTTAAATGAAACTCGGTACTCGTACGGATTGTATCAATGTCTTAAACCTTAAGTACATCTTCGAAATTTTATTAAAGTGAACAGTGTAAGTTTGAATTTCAAATTTCGAATTGCCAAACTGGAAAAGACATTAGTGAGATAACTAAACTCTTTTCCGAAAATGTACTTTATTGAGTTTTTAGACTTTGGTATATTTTGTCTATCCGTGCCGTGCTTTTAACATAAATATCAAAAACAAATTATTTGCTAAATTAACCAGAAATTAAACACTCGTATTGGGTTTCATAAAGACTTTATTACGATATATTTTAAGTACTCTGTATTAAGTTTTGATTAGGGCAAACTACTAAAGTTTGTTCCTAATGCCCTAATCTAAAACATATGATATGATTCAACTAATTTTGGAGCGCAGGACTGACAGGAGTCCGTTATTCAGAAATGGACTTTCAACTGACGACTTTCAATCTTGATAAAATATATCTTCCATTGGCTTTTTACTTAGGTAGTTGTTGACATTCTTGATGTATTTTTTCATAAACGCTTCCATTACTGGTTTACGTAGCAGTATATTCACAAAATGCCAGTGTTCGTTCATAAAGTCTTGTACTGCAGCAGCTAGAAGTATATAAAATAAATATAAGTATTTATATCTTAATGAAAAATTAACACGGTATGTCACAAATAACGTTATTCTAGATATTATGTGTCTTTGCCAGTTAAGAAGTGAACATGACATGACTTCCTCACGGCCCATACAGAGAGGGAGAAATAAATGATGATGAAAAAAGTAGGTAAATCTTAACATATGTAGTAAATACGTATGTATTTGAAACTGGCCATGAGGCCAGATATTATTTTCCACCCCATGACAAATAGACATTCAAAAATAAAAAATAAACTAATATTATCTTACTTTTCTCTTTATTCCCATTGAAAAGGTTTTTGAACTCGTACACCACTTTCCCCTTAGCTTCGATTTCCAGATTACTTGTTAGTAATTCGAGGTAAATTTTATTGTCAGGCCTAATTTTTCTGTAAATATCTCCATTGAAAAGGAAATTGTAGTCATCTGCAACAAAAATAATTAAGTACTTTACTACAATGTAGTGAATGTAGTATAAAATCTAGTTAGTAGTTTAAGTTCTATGGTCTATTCATTGTTAACAATCTTTACTATTAGGATAGGAACATCCATGTAAGTCGTTGAGTTTAGTCATTTCATAATTCTCTTAAGGGTTGTAAAAGGCATATAATTTTTGTCCTCACTAAAAAGAACTCTGAATTTGAACTGAACCCTTCGAAAACAGAGTTGAACTGCTTTATAAAAATATCGGGTGAGCAAAATGTATTACGATCAATGTTTTTTGTAAACAGACAATTATATACTTACAATGGTCAACTTTACATGTCGAGCCTTTGCCCTCAACGTACTGAGGACCGATATTACCCTTTAATTCACATCTCGATTGGAATACTAAATGTGGACAGCAAACGTGGTAATTGTACTTCTTTTCTTTGCTAGATATTCTGAAATAGAAGAAAGGCGTATTTACAGTTTTAGTTATATTGATCATATCTTTTGTAAGGTCAGCAAACAATCAGACTTATTATGTAAATGGCAAAGAACAGGTGCCATCGGCATCATCCTTGAGCATACTAAACACCAAACAAGCCGTTAGGGATTTAAGGATAAGACATTTTTGGATTGATGGTCGCACTTTGGACTTATTTTAAATCTACAGGACTTTAATTTTTCCAAGCAAATTTACCACATGTCGCATACCCCGAAATAACCATAAAAAATTGTCAATAAGTGAAACAAAACTTGTACTTATCACAAATTATCCTTGTATAGAGTATAAAAGTGCAGCATCATTACTATAGTTTTTTCGGAATGCCTACCTATCACAAATAGTTTACAAAAACAAATTTTATGTACTTACTTGACCAATTCTATCTTACAATCACTCATGCCAGCAAGTGAGGCTCCTGTCAGCTTATAGGATATCGTTGGAAGGTCGACTTCGAAGTAATCTAGACGTAAGGGGTCTGACGGTATATTTCCAGGTATACCTCTAATGAATTCTTCGAATGATCTTTCAGCACCTTCTGTCAGGCATCTGTGGTCATCTATATCACATATTATGGATGGTTTAGCTGAAATTTAAAAATGAATTTAAATCAATATGTTTTTGAAACTGGATTTGGAAATACAGACGATTTTAGTCCTAGTGTATTCGATATTTTTATATACTGTTATCTATTTGTACACGGCTTGGCAAGGTTTTATTTTGGTGCTACTCTTTATGTGTATAGGAGAGTAACTTCTTTGAGCTAAAATGCTAGAAACTTTAAGTCTCATTATTCTTCAGCAAAAATCTGTATCGATAAAAAATGGCTTATTTTTAACAAAAAATCTTTTTTTTGTTTGTTTCAAGTTTTCACTTTAATTTAATATCACTACTCACAGGTTACACTGCTTATAAGAACTATACTAAGGATAAATATAATATTTGAGTACATTTTGGTTACATTAAGCTTAATTTCTAATCTAATGCAACCGTCTCTGAGATTCTACTGAATTTATACTTTTTTGAAATAAATTTTGAATACACGGATGTGGTTCCGCAGAACTAAATGTTTTAGAATTTAGACTTTTGAATAGAAGAATAGTTTCTACTACTAGTATACTATGAGCTATTACAGACTTTAATCTATCTTTGGGCTAGTTGTTATCAAAATCTCAAGTAGTTTTTGCGTAAAGAAGTAACGAACACACATACATCAATCCATCTACCTACCAATCCATCCCACCTATGCATTCATACAACCATACTTACAAAATTTTAACTAATATTATTAATTGGATTAAGGTATTGGAAATTGCTTCTTTGTTGAAGTCAAATTAGGCAAAACGTATGAAGATGTTTTTGTTATTTTTTCACGACAGCTGATCTCCAAAAGCTTATTAGCATAAGTCAAGCAACTTAAGAAATTAAAATTAAATCAAAATAACGACATAAGGGTCATTAACCTCATAAACAGAGGCAAATTCAAAAAATGTATTTCTGCAGTTTGAAGCAAAAATTAACAGAAATTATAACTAAACTTATTTGTGTTTTTTTTTTTACTTTACGAAAATTTAATCTGACAATGCCTACACTTGCAAGCTTCATATCTTCATAATTACATTTTGGGCATAAGGGTTTTGGATATTTAAGGGTTAAGAAGGTATAGAGAGAGGGGGAGGAATTGGGACTCCGGTAACCTCACTCATACGGCGAAAACACAACGCTGTGGTTGTTTTACGCCGGTTTTCTGTGAGACCGTGATATCACTCCGGTCGAGCCGACCCATTCGTGCCAAAACTGCCCCCTCCCATACTTGTCGTGACAAGCTCTTGCTGATTAAAAACCAGCCTATTCTCTTTTCTGCTGCACTGCTGCAAGCCAAGCATGTACGGGCGCTTAACCCAAAATCCCGAAAAAATAGATTTTTTTCATTTTCCGTAAGTGTGGGAGAGCCATGCTTCGGCACGAATGGGTCGGCTCGACCGGAGTGATACCACGGCCTTACAGAAAACCGGCGTGAAATACAACGCTGTGGTTACACAGCGTTGTGTTTCGCCGTGTGAGTGAGGTTACCGGAGGCCTAATTTTTTCCCTCCCCCAATCCCTCCTAAATCCCTAAATCTCCAAACCTAAGAGGTCGGCAACGCACTCGTAACTCGTTGCGAGTGTCCATGGGCGGCGCTGATTGCTTACCATCAGGTAATCCGTCTGCTCGTAGGTATCGCCGACCTATTAAATAAATAAAAAAATTCTGGCCCAAACGTCAATGAGAATAATGTACCTGTGTAACCTTAGATATAATGAAAAAAAATAAAAGTAGGTGATTACATATCCGCACAGTACAAAATATGCTAAATCACGATGATAGATAAATTTCCCAGTTTCTTCTGCTAAACAAACCTAGTTCAAACAAAGGTTAAAATGACGTTATAGTCATGAAATTCATTAGGTTACTTCAAACCCTGCCGGAAGACTTGATTTTTTTTATATTGTTGACCTTGAACGTATTTTGCAATGCCACTATAAACCATTTTGTACGAGTATGATATATATTTATACTAATAACAAACAAAAAACGAATTGCAATGGATTTAATTTTGAAGAAATAGTTTTTAGACGAGTTTCAATTCAAATTATTTGAAAACTGTCCCACGGGTCGTCAAGAAAATTTTGTTTAACCTGTATTTTTATCGGTCCTGTAATCTCGCATATATTCATTCTTGCAATTTAATTTTAAAATGTAATTATCAACAATAAATACCACGAAAATAGGTGCTCTACTGCCTTTTAAATTGTCCCAAACTTAAAAAAAAAATCTTAATGAATATATTCAAGTCAAACATTTTTTGTCCGTAACTTAGAAAAATGCTTTTTTCGTATTCCACAAAATACTTAAATAAAAAAACGTGTCATTTTTTTTCATTATCTGACTGACGAACGACTTATTAAATGTTTGATTTTCATAACCTATTTATTTTACTCTTCTATGCTATGCTCTAACCTTCTCCGTGTGAAAAGAGGCCTTTGATGATGATGATGATGATGATGATTTATTTTACTATTTATGGCCATTTCTTCATATTTTCGAGAACAATTGAATAGATCCATGTCATATTGTGTTTAATAAAAGTAAAATTAAACAATAATACAAACGGTTAATGTGAAGGCAAAATAAAAACTCATTAATATTTGAGGTATTTAACCAAGCATTATAATAAGATTTTAATACAATAAACGCAATTTTAAAATAATACTCAATGGTTTGTTTACCATATAGATGAGTCATTCATCATCACTGATAGTAACTTCTTGACGTAATTCACAATGATTTATTTAATGGGAATGAATTTTATATTATTTGATTTGAATATTTTATTCTTAGCTACATCCCGTGGTTTCTTCTGTCTTTTAGTCTTATTTTGTTGGAGTCTGCAGCAATAACATTGTTTATCAAGAATGGGACTACCTACTGATATTTCAAGAAAGTTACCAGAATCATATAATCTATACTATCTATTCTATATCTATATATATACATGCGAATTTGTTGAAAAATTATAAATGAGAAAGTAACTCTGTCTGTCTGTCTGTCTGTCTTTTCTTCACCCCTAAACTACTGAGCCGATTTCTGTGAAATGTTTGATACAGACATAGTTTGCAACTCGAGAAAGGACATAAGATAGTTTTCATACCAAAAATCTGCAAGAAGTCATTATTCCACTCGGACGGAGTCGCGGGCAAAAGTACACTTATAAATTTTATTATCGATTCGGGAATCGAATCTGGAGAATCTGGGAATCTTAGGCTGTATCAGTAGCCTCATAATGCTACAAACCAAAAGAGATGACTAAGTAATTTAATAAAATGAAACAACAACACCACAGAAGAATACTAACTAATAGAATGAAAAAAAAACTAGTTTTTTTTATTACAATGTACAAAGTGATGTGTATTTTGAAAACACATGTAGGTTAGTTTAGTTTAGTTGAGAACGATTAAAATTGTTTTTATTTTGTTTTGCGAAACTGCAATTGTTTTAGTTTATCAAAGTTAGAGGCTTATTTGTTCTTTTTGAAGTTTGTTACTCTTCAATATAAAACTTGCAATCCGAATGAATTTTGGCATAGAAATAAATAATATTCTGGAATAACAAAAAAGGTGGCGGTAGAGGCGAAGCCGAAGAAGCTAGTGAAAATGTATAATGCGACTGGTAGGAGTTTTTATATGTTGATCAACTCACAACTAGCGGTAAGTAAGGATTACTTTAATACTCGGTATCCTCAATATACATATAGTAGCACGGGGTCTAAAACCAGCTGCAAAAGGGTATGTTAGTGTCGATTCTGTTGCTGCTAAGTTTTTATAAGATACCTGATGGAGTGTAATCAGCCTTTCTTTTTACTAATACTTTTTACAGAAGGATAAAACATTCGAAAAACTATGGAAGTGCCATGCCTCGGCGCAAATGGGCCGGCTCGACCGAAGTAGGCATCACGGCCTCACAGAAAACTGGCGAGAAGCATCACTTTCGTTTTGTTTCGCCATGTGAGTGAGGCAGCTAACAATCACTATCCTCAAATCACCTATCCGTAAATCCCTAGCAACCCTTAGGACGACAGCAAAGCACTCGTATTGAAACTCATTTGGTATTCCAAGTGTCCATGTTCAGCGCTGATTGTTTAAGATGAAATCGGCGCAAAATTTTTATATAAGTATATAAAAACACCGTTACTTTATAAAACACCATTTTCAAAAACGTTCAAAAGAGAAAAGGGTACGTTATAGAAGAATAGACGTACATAATTTTGATATTGCGTTGTAGTACGTAGGTATGTGAATAGTGTAATTTTTCATCTTAATAACAATGTATGAGAAAACCTTTTTATCAAACTGGCAAATGACGTTAGCACTTAATTTGGTTAATTAAAATAAGCAATATTTATTAAAAATATAAGACGGTATTTTAACTTATTTTTTAACATACAAAACTTATGTATATGGCTATAACATTGCTTGATTGAATAGATAAACATATTGTGTGAAGGTTTATATAATACCGCTTTAACAAAATTTCGCCATTTCATCTGCATTCATACAGAGAAAATGTTGTCAGCATTATTAATTGTTGTTTTATTGTTTTGCAACTGCGCTTTAAGTAAGTGAAGTGTCGTTTTGAATTTGCTCATACTTGGAGACATTATTGTGTGTTAAATGTGATAAAATATAAAGCAGCAAAAGTATATTACATTTAGGATCTGAACCTTAATTCATCAAACCCCAAACGAACGCCGGCGATTGGATATCTATTGCTCTTTTATTGTGTCCGAAAGACCACCATTAAAAGGTTAAATCAATTGGTAAAACAAAGCAAATATCACTTTACTTCCAGGTGAAAGAGTGCCATGTGCCTATACAGACGAAAAATGTCTTACAGAAAGTTGTGACCGATCCTTTAAAAAGTTCATAAAAGGCAAAAGTGGAGCAGAGTCTTCCGACCCATTGCATTTGGATCCAATTACGATTGATCTGCCTAAAATGAAATATGGGACAAAAAACAATTTCTTTTCGGGAATGTCGAATTGCCATGTCGCGTTAACTCGGTAAGTATTTTTATCATGGTCATAACATCATGATTTGAGCTAAAATCAAAGTTTTGAAAATAGTGAAGTATAAGTAAATTCTTGTCAAGCAATAAAGGGTTATGCCACCTAAGTAAATAGTGTTAAGACGGAGAAAAGGGCCATATCGTTTAGAGTTCAAAAAGGTAAAATAATACAGGTATTAAGAATAGTAAAATATTTAACACTATATATTCTTTCCAGAATATCAATTGAGAACAGTAAATTCCAGTACAATATCGCCTGCCCAAATCTTACTATGAAGACCGATTATGATATGGAAGGTCAATTAAATTCTAAGGATATTAACGAAACTGGAAACTGTGTAGTCAACTTTGGTTAGTAAATAAACAATTATTATTAAACTAACAACATCTATACAAACAATTATGTGAAAATTTGGATATGACAAAAAAACACATTAAGAATAATGTGTTTTTTTGTCATTTCAAATTTATTAAAACTTTTTCTTATAATAAGATTTTCTTCTGTATTCTTGTATTTTTTTTTAATTTGTACTTTGCCCCACACTAGATCTGTCCTGTGTGGTGGGTGTGTTTGTAACCAAACAATTTCACATACCGACACCCAGGCACAAAACAAGGATTTCCGTATCAAAGTAATAACTTCCTAATCTTTACAATGCTAAACACCGGCTTCTATTTTCAGACGATTATCTTCTAAGATTTGAAGGAAACTATGGCCAATACAATGGTGTGGATAACAAGATCCATCTTCAGGTTAAAACCTACAAATTCACACCTGATAATAAAGCAAGAGTACATTACGAATGTAAAAAACATTCCAGTGACGATAAACAAAAATGTAAGAACATTTCCCTGATTTATACTAAGTAATATTATAAAGCACGATGGACACACATTACACCAAAAAAATACATTACGATTCACCGTTGGGGCTGGGGGTGAGATGATAGTGATTGGGGTTGGAGGGGATAAAATTCTACCCGAGTTGAGCACCCGGGGAGAATTTTCACTTTTATTAAGGAAGGCACGGCAATAGACCATCTTGCTGCAATCAAACACAGCCGAGCAGCAGATGAAAGTGCTCCATCATAGCTAGTTAAGTCATATTCACAGATTTTTTGAATTTTATTGGTAAAAAATATTGTGTTTATAGAATAGATTCTTAAAAATCTGTCATTCAAGCAACGTCAAGTCCTCGTAACCTTACCCTAATTCGATTTTGATGGGGTTTTTTCTGAGAAAATGTCAGTCAGCAAATTTATTAATTTAACTTTAGCACTTATAAACACACGTAAACAAATTATTCTTACTGTTTATCATCTAAATCTTTTGTATCATTCTGGCATCCACCATAATAAATGTTGAATTTGCCTAACAAAAATATTATTATAAAAGGTGTATCTTTATCTCTTTTTCAGCTAATGACTGGCGTGATGCACACCAACAAGCCGCTAAGTATTTACTGATTAGCTTTATGGAAAAATATATGACAAACGTCAACCGATTTTTGGAACGCACATCGAATGAAGATCTGTTCTACCAGGAGTGAATATAATTATTTGCCTTGTGATAATTATTAATTATGTATAGTGTACGGCTAAATTATTAAAAAACTGTTTTGTTGCTGTTTTTAAGTATTGTTTTTATTTAATCTTCCACTAGGAATTACTATACATTACATTTCCTACTAGGATCTCGCACAACCATTTATAGAATTAGATTTTCAATGAAAGTAAAAGCAGCAGCAGACGGATGACCTGATGGTAAGCAATCGGTGCCAAACATAGACCACTGCAACGCCAGAGGAGTTACGAGTGCGTTGCTGGCCTTTCGGGCATTAAAGTCTCGGAGATTCAGGATTTAGGGAAGGAAGCTTACAAAACAAAATGCTGTGGTTGTTTCACGCTAGTTTTATGTGAAGCCGTGGTATCACTCTGATCGAGCCGACCCATTTGTGCCGTATGGCTCTCCCACACCTATTATCTCTATAAACATACTACTTAAAAAAATTAATTTAAGACAACTAAATAAGTGTATTATATAAATATAGTTAGATTTCTCCTACATATAGGTCATCAGTATAGGTTACTTAACGTAAGGTAAACTTAAGGCAATCCTGGCACAGTCATAAAATTTAATAAATGTTGAACAAGCTTTTTTTATGTCAAAAGTCGGCAAGAGTTCGGACGGTTACCCTGATGGTAAGCAATGAGCACCGCCTATGGACACTCCTAATACGATAAGTGCGTTGCCAGGCTCCTGTGGGTTATTAGGGGTTTAAGGACAGGACATTACAGGCTCATCGGTAACGTCACTTACACGGAAAAACACAATGGTGTAGTTGTTTCACGCAGGTTTTCTATGAGGCCGTGGTATCACGCCGATCGAGCCTGCGCATTCGTGGCGAAGCATGGCATTAGACTTTTCAACGTTATGTATTTTATGAGTTTGCTTATTGATGTGTGATAAAAAACTGAGTCCCAATTTCCCTTAGTCACAACACGTGAACGATTAGACCATTTCCGATAGTTTTTATTGTCAGAAAAAGGTTCTTATGAGAGAAAATTGTACATAAAGAGGGAAAAGTCAGAAATTGACAGACTTTTTGATGCCATGGTGGTTCCCTAGCAAAACAAATGACTAACACCAAGACTACCTCGATGTTATGTTAGTCACGCGGACAGGCCGATAGCAATATAATTAAAAGAAAAAGGTTGCATATTATTTTTAAATTAAGAACGATGTGAATAATAAATTCTGCTCACGTCATTCCTAATTTATGAAATTTAAAATAACACAAAGAAAACTTTAAGAATAATTAGCTTAGATAAGTATCTTATTTTTATCGGGTTTTTGACTTCAGTTAAACACTTACTTAAAAATATTATTAACGGTTAAGATAAGGCAATGTACTTACTTATACACGGGTGACAGTATTTTTATGATATCGCAACAAGCAAACGTGCAGACAGATTACCTGATGGTACTCGTAAGCACCGCCCATAAGGACACTCACAACACTAAAGGAATTACAAGTTCGTTGCGGACCTTTTAGGGATAAGTTTTGGATTTTAGAGGACTGAGAAGAGGTCGGGGGAGGACGAGAGATTGGGCCTGCGGTAACCTCACTCACACGGCGAAACACAACGCTGTGGTTGCTCCACTCCGGTTTTCTGTGAGGCCGTGGTACCACTCCGGTCGAGCCGACCCATTCGTGCTGATCCAAATTTACCACATAAATAAGAAAATAGCTGTCATTCTCAAAGACATTCCCTCAAATTTGTGAGAATTTCAACTCCGTGTTGGTTGGAGCCACGACGAAATTTTATATTTGTCGTATAAAATTTGTTAAAATAATTCAAACTACACCTTAAATTTTAGGTCCCGTTAACACAGGTTAAAAAAATCATATAATTACAATATATTTTACCAGTTCGTACATTAGTCTCTGGTGTTCCAGCTAAGTTACAACATCAAGATGTTGACTTTAAAATTGTTAATAATTTCTATTATTTGTGTAGAGAATATATTTTGTAAGTTGATTTGTGATTAATTCCAATATAATAGAAAACAATATTGATCGATTTACAGACAAAATAACAATTACTAGGATGAATATATTTTATTATAATTCAGTGGTACTCCTAATTATGCACTTGTTATAAACGTCACAATATATTGTAAACATTATGTAGCTTATTTAGACCGCGTTGACAAAAAACTAATTTATTATTTATTAATTGCACTGACTTTTGCTTATATCACTCAATAATAAGGGTCTGTGTCAAGTTTTATTAGTAAACTCGATTACGTATTAATAGATTTTCTTACATAGAGTAAATGACCTGATGGTAGGTTATCAGCGACACCCGCAACAACATAGGTGTTACGGGTACGTGGCCTTTGTGGGTCGTTAAGGATTATAATTATGACAATATAGTAATCGCAATATTAGGTACCTAGTCTACCTATGTTTATTCAATTAGGTACCTACATTTATTCCAAGAACACTATCTTTTAGAATGCAACATGTATTTCTAAGTCATTCATCACCATCATCATCGTCATCCAGTTTCCGTCCACAGCTGAGTATAGGCCTGTCCAATTGCACGCCATTAAGCTCGATCCAGCTCTTCTCATCAAACCGCTGCCAGCCACCCCACGGATATCGTCAGTCCACTTAACTGGAGGGCGCCCTACACTACGTTTGCCTAAACATAGTCTCCACTTTAGAACACGTCTACATCAAGGGTCATCGGTTCTTCGACAAATGTGATCTGCCCACTGCAACTTAAGTTTCCTTACCCTTACAATCCTTCTTAATAATTACAAGTACTTTCTCCTTTAATCTTAATTTTGTTTATTTTTAGGTAAGAAAGTCTTCTGTGATCCCGATGACGACATTTGCCTCTCAAATGCAGCCAATGAAAGGGTCTTCCCGAAGGTGATAGAAGGGATCCCTGGAGTTGAACCATCGGAGCCGCTCCACTTGCCTCGGTTTGAAATAGTTCTTCCCAATTTGAAGTATTCGCTACTCAACGCTACAATGTTTGGAGTGAAAGATTGCAGTATAACTTTCAAGTAAGACAACTTTTAGTTTATATTAATGTTTAAAATACCTATTATCACAATACATATTTAGCAATGCTTTAGGTTATAAGATATTCTATGGCTTTAGTCTTCTTGTCTTGAATCGGCCTATAGTCATCAAACGATTATGTTTATGTGATCGTGATTTGATCAAACAGGTCAAACTCAATTATCGCAAAACAAATTTAGTATAAAAGGCAGAATTAAGGTAATATTTAGTTTATCACATTTTCTAATCATCATCATCATCATCAGCCCGATGTCGTCCACTGCTGGACATTGCCCTCCCCAATTGCACGCCACTGAGCTCTATATTCAGCTCTTCTCATCCAACCACTGCCAGCCACCCTGCGTATTTTCTCACAAAAACGATATATTCCAATTTTATCTCATTTTCCAAATTTTAAAGTAAAAGATTCTGGCGATCTTAGGTTTCGTAAGGAGTTGATCGTGAGTATTTTTTTAACACGCTTTTATTTTCTTTACAGAAAACACGTTAAAGATTCGAAGTTTGAATATGAACCATGCTGTCCTCGTTTAACAATACAATCTGAATATGAAGTCGATGGCAAAATCGATACAGTATCGGTTAGAGGGAGAGGGACATTTAAAATCACTTACGGTGAGTGCGCTTCATATAGATGCATATATGATATTTACATTTATACGGTAGAAAGGCGATTTAAATGATATCTGGAGAAATGTTAACATGTAAATCACTACATAGTATAAAACGGAGTCGCTTTCTTTGTCCCTTTTTATCCTTATGTTTACTTAAGTCCCTTAAAACTACGCAACGGCTTTTGATGCAATTTTTTTCCAATAGATATATGTATATTGTTTGAGGAGAAAGGTTTATAATGTATTATGATATTCATTAAATGTATATTAACGATAGGGGGAAAAATTTGTATAAGAATTGCTTCCGTGCAAAGCTGGGACGGGTCGCCAGTTACAGACTAAAGAGTTCTTTTTTTGTTCTGGTTACCAATTCTGTACAACAATGTAGACACATACCATATTGTTTGCCTTGATTCTCAATCATTAAAACCTTTTTTGTTTTAGTTTTCAAACGTCTCTAAAGATATGGAGACGGGCTTGAAACGGCCTTAGGCTTCATATGACTCTAAAATACTGCACTGCACGGTTGGTGCGGTGGCTGGGCAACTGGCTGCCGTGCAACGTGTTGCAGGTTCGATTCCCGCACGGGACAACACTTTGTGATACACAAATTGTTGTTTCGGGTCTGGGTGTCATGTGTATGTGACATTGTATGTTTGTAAACGCACCCACAACACAGGAGAAAAGCCTAAAGTGGGGCAACGTTTTTAAAAAAAGAAAAAAAAATTGCTGCGAAAAACATTTTTACTTTAAAAAAAATTATATATACCCAATTTTGCTGCATATTTCGCAGTTGATTAACTAACTCTTTTGTTATTTTACAGAGGAATTATATTTTCACATTTTAGTAAATCAAATAAAAGAAAAATTACCGGACAACAAGGATCATGTTCGTATTTTAGACCACACTACGCAATTGGATCTGCGAGGGAAACACACTTACGAATACAGTAACTTGATATTTAGTGAAAGTGGCAGATGTGTGAAATGTAAGATAATTGTGTATTTTCTTTTGTGGTGGTTTCGCTTTATATATTTTCGATTTTAATTCAGTGCACAAAAGTATTTTTTATGAAATAGGAGAAAAAACAGACAGACCCATAATTTAAAACATATTGTTTTTCCGTAAATAACAACCTTGAATAGCTTGTTCATACTTCATGTGGAATGGTGAGTAATCAGAGCCATCCATGGATACCCGCAACATCAGAGGAGTCACAGACGCGTTGCCGGCCGTGTTTACGAGAGAGTATTGATATAACGCCATTCGCCAGTTAGTAACGTTTGTTAGTTGTTGCACATGCTTGCCTTGTGCAGCTTTTGCTAATTTTCCATTCAAACTAGGTAGTGTTAATTGATTAACATAAATAAATAAACGCACTTGAAAAACCAGTCCCTTAAAATTAAATATTCAGTCACATCAAATACAAACGAGTTTTTCCTAACCACGGAATAGAAAATTAACATTGGTTTTGTGTTTAGTGCCATCTATCTTATTTGTGTGAAACTACACAGAGGATTATATTTCTAGGTAACCCAGCGGTGAGGGAGAAATATTTTGCCAGATTCGAAGAAATCACCCGAGACCCACTTGTGAAGGCTTTTGTTGACAAATTCATGGAAAATGTTCGAGATTTTCATGTAGCGAGGCCCGTTGAAGAATTGTATTATAAGTATGTTTAATGTTTGACCGATTAATTAAACCAAGTGGAGTAATAAAGCGATAAAAATACTTATAGTTTATTATTTATCTAGCTATTAACGAAAAGTTGGAGCTTATTACTTAAACAAAATTACAGCTCTACGGGATTGTTCCAAAATGATAACTAGGCAATAAATTACGAATTTAAAGTTATAACTAGTTTTTAAAACTCGTAGTTATCGTGTCGTTGAGAAGTTGTTTCACGCCGGTTTCATTCCGGTCGAGCCGACGCATTCGTGACCAAGCTTGGCTCTCCCACACTTAAACACATTCTCAGGGTCATAATACTGCATTTCCTAAAACTGATGGGCCAACAGCCTAGCAATGCATTAGTAACTTATTTGTTGTTGAAAAAGCAAACAGACAGTTACGACGAAAAAAGCAATTGACTGATGAGAAACTATATAATCTCTTTCTCTGTTTTTTTTTTCGGCAAGCCGCATACCACATAATATTATAGCTATACCTACTACACATAGTACTACGAGTCGTACTTAAGGCATTGTCACATGTCAAAATTAAATATTATTGGCTAGCTCAGACATAGTTTAAACATCTATCAATGAATCTAATAGTTTATTTACAATTCCAAAGAAAAATAGACCTTTATACAGTACAGTAAGAATAAAAATTTAAGCAATATATTTCTGTAAATTTATATTATATTAATTCCAATTCAACGCTCTAGGTACTTTTTTTCAATTGTTTTTCTATAAATTTTGTAGGTATGTATGTATGTAGCTGTATGTTGTGATGTGACGTATATTATTGCGTCAATTACCGTACTTATTTGATGAAAAATGTTCATAAAAATGCTAATTGGTATGAATTAAGTATATTCTAAAGTCAATAAATCAATGTTACAATTAATTTAAATATATTATTTTACTTTTTTGACTTAGCCATGAATTCACTTCTTAAAAGGTAAATATTTTCAATTTAATATGATTTTATAGATTTCATTTAAAATCTTTAAATGAAATTTATTATTAATTTATTTTTCGAAGGTAAACAGGTTTAATTTTTTAATTTTATTATAACACAACAAATCATTATCCCACTATAGGGGTTTCTCCTGTGTAGTGGGTTCATATACACACATACGATTTCACATACGTATAATACCCCGACCCGAAGGTTTTTCCATGCGCGTTTCAAACTAGCCGCAGCAGTATAATGAACTATGTATACTTAGCTTGAACTTTAATAAAATTAATATTTTATTATATGTGATGGCAAAATTATTACTTAAGTATATTGAGTAAATACTATTTTAATGTGATTCCTTTGGCATAATAACATATCTTTGTGCACTTTAAACTGGTTCATTAAAAGGCCCAGGCTGTGGACTGACTTACTGAAAATTTAAATTAAAAACATGAAAAAGGCTTTCATGTAAACAGGTCAATTGATGAATAAGTTAGGTATGTAAGTTACATACATACAAATGTAGGTATGTGAGTACAAACGTAATTCATAGTAGAATGTCCTTTTAAATTTTTACACACATTATACAAATATTTTTCTGTTCACAATAAATTTACAAAATGCATAATTTTCAAATTAAATTATGTTTATTTCATACGAAATAAAGAAATATAAATCTTTAAATTCACATAGTTTTAAAAACACGACTAGATTAAACAAATGCGATAACTTATAAGCAAATCAAATTTAATGGTCGTTAATTCTGTGTTTTATAAAGTTTTTTATTTATTAAAGTAAGTAAAATATTTGCAATAAAGGTATCATCTTCAGCCTTAGCTGTGATCAAGCAAAGTCTTCGCTAATATCCGTCAGCTGGAACTAAAGGTGGCTTTCCATACGTTTGAGTTCATATCCATGGCCATTAATTGTCCGTGGCATCGGTAGGTTGTATGTACCTGTTTGTACCTAGCTCTCGTCCTCTGCAGCCGGTGAAACTATGAGGAGCAGTTCAGACATTGGGCTTCCAACGTTAGAATGGATAGTACAAATAAAAATAAAATCATGATTGATTCTATGACAAGGTACTTAAATGTGGCGTCAAACAATTTAATCTTAGTCTTAATCGTCAAAAATGTTAAGTGTGAGAGAGTCATGATTTGGCACGAATGGGTTGATTCGACCGGAGTGATACCATGGCCGCCGAAAACCGGTGTGAAACCACCACAGCGTTGTGTTTCGCCATGCCGGTGAGGTTACCGGAGGCCCAATCTTTTCCCTCTCCAAATCCCTCAATCTCCGAAACCTAAAAACCCAAAAGGTTGCTATCGTACTTGTAACTTCTCCATTGTTGCGGGTGTACATGGGCGGCGTTGATTGCTTAGCACCAGGTAATTTGTTTGCGCATTTGCAGCCCTATCACATAAAAAAATCTAATTAGTTTCGATGTTATCTGTACTAGTCTAATGTTATTAAATAAAAAAAAATGTTATGAGAACCATTGATAGACTTATCTTTGATTTGAAGTTGAAACTATCTGCAGACCGTCATTAAAGATTATGAAAACACAGGGAGGATAATAAAGTTGATTTGAATAAGCCTTTAATTGCTCAAGGTAACAAATGTGTGAAAAATTTAAATTTCATAGTATATAATTCGTGTTAACGCCTACTCTACAAATATTTTATAAACAGCAGTTTGAAGACACATTTTGCCATTTGATCCTAAATGATGATGTGCACAGTACGTTTTTTGTTCGTATTATTTTATTTTCACAACAATGCCTTCGGTGAGTACTTCAATAAATATAATTTTCTATTTTAATATTCTATGCCTTGTGTTTAAATTACCTCAAAACAATTAAGCAATTTGGCTAGGAACGACATACGGCTATGCTACCCTGATTGCTGCTACCGCATTCCAAAGTAGGATAGTCTGGACAGATAATAATGAATGGAATAAAAGCTGTGAGAAGGACAGCAGTAGAATCAGAGGAGCAGAAAAGATTTTAACATGGTTTAAGGGAAGCGATTTTATCTAGAAATTTATTCATAACTTATTTGTACTCATTTCAGCGTGGAGGAAAGAATTGTGCAGCCCATTAGACAATGATTGTCTTACCCAAGCAGTAAAAGAACATGTTTACGACAAGTTTGTCAGAGGTTTAAATGGAGTGGAGTCTTCAGACCCACTATATACGAACAACATCATTATTAATCGGCCAAATTTTAACTACACTCTTTATAGACCTACGCTATTAGGAATGAGGCATTGTAATTTTATGAAGTTAAGGTAAGATAATAAATTTTATTTACTAGAAGTAGAAGGCAAAATAAATTAAAAAGACAGCCGGTCTAATCAACAATTTTATATCAAAGATAATTTTGAAGGGTAGAAAACAAGGTCGCCTAGTACATAAGCACGAAACAATTGAATGCACTACAACTACTAAACTAGATTAAACTGCACTAAAGGTAATAGAAGTGCATATATTGAGGATAAGAATGCCTGGAATCATGTTGATTCGGCAATACTCAAAGTTATAGTCAGTAGTTACTAAAATTCTCAATATTAATGAATCCTTGAATGAGTTTATATGGAAGCATTCTTTTAGATTGTGAGTACGCATATGTGAGCACCATGTTCGAGACTATTACTAGTCTTAATACTTACGTATTGAAATTTACTGATAGATCCCACCATTTTTTCTTTTTTATATTCAACTTGTCTCTGCAGTGTTCTCACATAGGGTTACAATAATGTGTTATTAGAGAATTGTAAAACAAATAATATTTTTTAAAAAGAATACCGATGGAGTTTCTTTCTCGTTCTTCTCAATTCGAAACTACAATTTGGAACGAGCACCTAGCTTCACTGACAAACACTGACAGACTGCTGTTTTATTTTGACCACGATTTTGACGTTTCAAAAGTACCTATGTATGGATTACTTGAAATAAATGATTTTGATTTGATAATCTAAGTATGTAGAAAAAAATTCAAAGTAAAAAATTGCTGTAATATTACGAGCATGTTAAGATTCTCTAATAACGTTATATTTCTATTTTCGAATTGCCTCACATATTTGACGTAGGGTACTAAACTTATCGAGTCTGCTTGCCAAATTCCGCATCTTGGTTTTCAGATTGACCCAAGACGAAGTTTCTAGGGTAACTTATGAACTAGAGTGTCCAAACTTGGTTCTGAAAGCGAGTTATGACGTGAAAGGAACTATGAACAGAATCCAAGGAGAAGGCAAAGGTGTCTGTGAAATTTCATTTGGTACGTATAACTGAAAAATAAAAGTGACGTCTGACGAAACAAATATATTGTAAAAAAACAAAGAATTAGTGATTATAGTTTCTTTACCTTTCAATGTTAAATTTTTCAGTAGTTAAACGTTTGTTTTAGTTTCAAATGAAGCCATAAATCATTAATTTTCGTTTGCTATTTATCAAACGTACCGAAAATGACTGAAATTTATATGTAAAAAAAATCGACCTCTCAATATAATTAATTATTAAAATATATTCACACACATCTAAATATTTCGTTCATTGACAATTTAGCTACAATATTAAAAAATAATGTTTAGCAAATTTTGAAGGAACATATATAATTTTGGAACAAAAAAATACTTTAAATTTCATATAAACTTTCAGAAAATTCCTATTTTTTTTTCTTAAAATACCGGTTACATATTACACTACATACTCAGGTTTTTGATAAACTTAAAATAGATTAAAACTATCTATCGTAAAGCTTTTAGTCTAGGAGAAATCTATTTTTTTTACAAAAATGTATTTCATTACAGACGTCTACAAACTAAACATAACTGGAAAATATGAGAGAATAATGGAAGAGGACGGTAAACTGCACTTCCATATACTCAACTACAATTTAGAGCTGGATGAGCATGCAACGTCATCTGTCATGTACCACAATCTGTTTACTCGTCCCACTGGAATGGGTAAGATGAATTCAATATATTATACAGAATGCATAGGACAATAAACGATAAAACAAATGAAAAGATATCATTATAAAAGTGCAATTAAAATTATTCGTTAGTATTTAAGTGTAGCCATGCTTTGATGCGAATTTTCCGCCGGAAACGGAATAATACAAAAGCCCTACCAAAAAACTGGCGTGGAATAACCACAGGATTAAAATTATCGGAGACCCAATGCTTGTCCAATCCCCGTCCTTGACGATGTTCTAAATCCCCAATAGGTTGGCAATGCATTTGCTACTCAGGTTGCTCCATCAAGCAGTTCGTGTGGTAGTTTGCCACCGTATCACATGCCACAGCTACTTTTGATACAGGACTATCCTAACATATTGAAAATTTATTGTTTAGTAATTAGATCTCCTCTTCTGATTCCATTTCTATCATGAAGTTTGTATGCTGCATGTTGCTTCAGCTTTTTAAATTTGTCCTTGTCATTGGCTAAAACAAAAGCTGTTTAGATTAGTTTATACTTTATCACTATGTCGTATAAAACAAAGTCGCTTTCCCTGAACCCTTATCCCTATGCACGCTTAAGTTTTAAAAACTATGCAACGGATTTTGACTTAGTTTTTTTAATAGACAGAGTGATTGAAGAGTGATCGTTATATGTATGATAATATTCATTAAACAGTAAAAAAATAGTAACAGATTGTACACGTGCAAAGCCAGGCTCACAAGTTCTTAATAAAAATAATTATTATTATTTTCCATATCAATAGTTGTACATAATCGAATCTCACTTTGGACAATATTAACCTTTGTGTTTATATTTTTCAGGTGAATATTTTGGGAGAGCGTTGGAGAAGCAGACACGAGATTATGTAATGAAAAAAATGTTGACCAAATACGTTCAAAACCTTAAGGATTTCCAACGAATCGTACCAATAGAAGAAGTACATTTTAGATACGTTGTCTGAGTTATAATATTATAAGAAAAAAATTCGTTATTATTGTTATATACCTCTTATTGTTTAATAAATTTTAAATTAATTTTATTATTCATATTGAAACATTCTAAAATTAAATGTTTATAATTATTTTTGTGTTTTTCTATGTGTATATTAGAACAACAGCATTTAAGAGACTTGTTGGTAACTAAGTACACGAGCCAGGGTTGCCGGTATAAGTGCAATGATGCACCGCGACCGCTTTCCAGAGCAGAAGAAGGAACGTGGTGTTTTTTAAGTCAGTGAGTTTCACACTTTTTCTCGCCCAATCCAGAACAAGAGAAGCAATTTGATTAATTCCCTCTCGTAAAAAAGTAGGAACACGTAATAAACTGCAATTTGTTAACAAAACAAAAAGGAACATCATTATTTTATTTCTGACTAACAAACTAAATAAACTTTTTTTCATTTTTCACACCTCGAATTGCTGATTTTGGTCACTATCCTTGCCTGGTGGTAAGCGATGATACGACCTATGATGGAGAGCACACCTATTCCCGACCAGACAGGTTATACCTTCGGGGAACGTAAACTCCAGCAAAGAATTCCACTCAGCGGTTCTGATGAAACAACTGGAAGCGAATGACTTACTACCTACACAGTTAGCGAGGTGGCTGCCGCGCAACGTGTCGCGGGTTAGATTCCCGCACGGAACAACTCTTTGAGCGATTAACAAATTCTTATTACGGGTCTCGCTGTAGTGTGTATGTGAAATTGTATGTTTGTAAACTTACAAAGGAGAAAATGCTTGTGTGTGGCAAAAAAAATTACGTACGACCCGTACGAGTGGGATATGCCCCGTGAATCAGTGACGTTTTGTCGACTCATCCCGGTAGTACGGTTGTCGAAAGGGCTAGGGGGAACCAAGTTTTGGGGGCCCTAACACTCAAAGAAATATATTTGATAAAATACCGAAGACTTTGCTCCTGTCTGAATTATTTAACTTACTGCCATTCACTTACTTTTCGCCATAAATTGTTTTAAGTATGGGAGAGCTATGCTTTGGCATAAATGGGTCGGTTCGGCCCATCGCCGCCCCTCGACCGGAGAGATACCACGGCCTCACAGAAAACCGGCGTGAAACAACCACAGCGTTGTGTTTCGCCGTGTGAGTGAGGTTACCGGATCCCCGATCCCTCCCCAACCCCTAAATCTTCAAAACCCTAATTCCTAAAAGGTCGGCAACGCACTCGTAACTCCGTTGCGGGTGTCCATGGGCGGACTGATTGCTTACCATCAGAAAATCCGTCTGCTCGTTTGCCGACCTATTACATAAAAAAATCATGTCCAAATCATCTTAACACTTAACTCAAGAAGAATATTGTGAAAATTATCTTCTCGAAGATTCTCAGAAGAAAGAAAGAAAGAAAGAAAGCATTCTCTTTCATACATCTTAGTTACTAAAACATTATAAATAGCCTGTCAAAGCTTTTAGGGATCGTAACTGATTAAAATTTAATTTGCTGCAAATTTTCATTGTTTAGTAAATATACATACGTGCACTCACTCACTAAATTTGGAGTTTGTTGTTACCGATACGAACTTCAAACCTTCAAAAAACGAGCGTACTGCTTCCTAAACGAAAAAATGATGTGTGGCTTTTGTAGAATAGATATTAAGAATGGATATCATTTTAAAGCTTATGTCACTTTAAAATGTCGCAAAATGCGAAGAATAACCTTACAAGGAAAGCTGGAATTAGAATTCTAGTTTTATTCTGAAAAAAGTGTGGAGATTAATGCTGATATTATCTGCTTCGCATAAAAAGACGCATTTGCTCTGCAAAAAAGATGAAGTGTTATGTTTCGTTTTACCTAAAAAAACTGACAATTAGGAAACAAAAGCTATTTCGTATTAGAAATTGTTTTATTTTCATTAATAATTAATTCTTAGTTGTTTTTGGACATCACACAGGAGATTTGACAATTAAAAGTTACAAATGACGTCACAAACCCTACATCGCACAACTGAAGATTTGCGCAATCAAAACAAATAATAAACTCTCATCCATTGTTTCGACTGTCGCCCAGCTTGCATGATCGCTTTGCTTGGCCAAAGGATCTTCAGTTTTGCGATTTTAGATAAATTTACTCTCTATTTCCTTAATGTTCGGTTAGGTATCTATTTAACAATTAAGCCATCACGACGCATAGCATTTCATTTAAACAAAAAAAACGTATTTGTATGTGTGAAATACCGACTTGATGACGCTGCATTAGGAAGTTTAAAGAATTCAAGATTTTCGAGGTCCAAATCGTTAATTTACTATAATTTTACAGCTAAAATTATCTTTTATTATTATAATGTCCACTATAACGTGATTTATTAAAATTATAAATACCGAAACCTTTTATAACAATAGTTATTATTTTCTGAGAGCTAAAGCCAAAATGTTCACATTGAGATTGATGTATATATTGTTGTGTTTCAAATGTGTTTTCTGTGAGTATATTTTGTATTTTATACTATTTAACCAAAAAAAATTCGACTGTTTATACAAATTAACATAAATCTATGAACAAAATACAAAAAAAATACTTGTTTTCGATGTTATTGTTTGAGTGTTTAGAAAAAGTTTTTTTGCTTTTTCTTCCCTTCAGAATTAAAATTTGTTTATAAAACGTCTATCATTAGGTTGTTTTTGTGGAAAATATTATGTACGTAATCAGTATAATAAAAGTCATTTGTAATCTGTACTTATATTTCTCTAATATTACGAAGTAAGAGTTTGTTTGAACGCGCTTCTTCCCAGTTACTGATTTAAATTGAACAATTCTTTTTGTATTCGTTGGTCCATTTATTGAGGAAGGCTATATGCTACTATAAAACATCTCAAACGATCTATAGGAGCCGAGCAGCAGGTGAAACGGCACGAGGATAGCTTGTCGTTTCGTATAATTTTAACAATTCTTATTCCAGCTCTGCAAAAACAACTTTGTTACAATGACGATGAGTGCCTAATAAATGCGGTGATCGAGAGAGTGTATCCAAGGTTCGTGGCTGGAGGACATGGAGTAGAGTCCTCAGATCCTCTTCACATCGACGCCATTGTGGCAGACCTGGCAACCTTCAGATACGGCCTGTATAACGCTTCAATGATTGGCTTCAAGAACTGTGAATTCGTCAAATTTAAGTGAGTTATCTTTTTAACAACCCTTTTTCTTGGTGTTTTTTCTTACTGTCTTTTTATAACCGTTTTTGTTAGTAAAATCGAAGTTTTTTAATAAGCTACATTTCTTATGACGTTATTTACAACATTATAAGCAAGCAAGCCGAAGTTCGTTTGTTGCATAAACATCTTTTATTTTTTTATTATAAACCAATTCCTCTGGTAACAAAAATAATTATCGAAAATTAAAGCATTGTGTTTAAAAAAACCAAATTTTGGTGTACTAAACAGATATTTTTTTTTTTGTAAAACAATTAAGTATATTAACAGCCCTTTTATTTGCTTTTTTTCAGTAATAAACGGCTCAATTCATACACTTACTTTGACTATGGCATATCCTGCCCAGTTCTCACTCTTCAAGCACGGTACGACCTCAATGGCATCATAGACTCTATTCCGGTTGAAGGCAGAGGACAATGTAAAATTGTTTATGGTAAGTACTCTTTGTTTTTCTTAAATGGCAACTTTGACTTGCTTAGCCTTGTAAACATAATACTAATAGAAGGTCGAAAATGTTTTAAGCCATTGAATAGGGTAGACTCAGTTTGTTATCATTTGTATTTGATCCAAAATACAACACAATTATTATTATTATTATTTGTTGATTAAGAGAGCCAGTTCTGAATCCGTCCTCTGAGTCCATTCAAAGTTTTGGCCAAAAACATTTTATCCAAATAGATAAGTATCGAGTCAAGCACCGAAGACCAATTACATAATTTGACAGAAAACCAAATTAAATAGGTACTACAAATTTATTACAGAGAAATACAACATATCTATAAGTGGAAAGCATGAAAAACTAAAGGATGATGAAGGAAAAGAACACGTGAACATTTTAGAGTATAAAATCGTCTCTGATCTGAAGAATGGGAGAGTCAGAGATCCTGAGTACACAGACTTAACTTTTAACCAACATGACAGTTGTGAGTATTATACTATAAAGGTTTATTTTATATAATAATACATAAAAATTATTTAAATTGTCGTTCAAAAACTTAGGTACGTGATGAAGTCTAAGAATTGAAAAGAGCGCCATCTATGGATTGTCGACAAAACCAAGTACTATGGGTAGGCAGCGTTAGTGAACTACACAGTACTGCGTAAACAACTTTTTTGGCATGGAATATAATTATTATAATGAATATTAAAATCTACATAAAATATTCCATGAACTAAATATTAAAATGTACAAAAACAGCTGTAGCTGTTTTTTGCACAATAAAATGTATTTATAATCAATTTTATATTTTAACTAACAACTCGTTCGTCATTAGAATTATTGAATTTCGTCGATGTAGATACAGCAAATCTATTTATTTACACTATATGCACATTGTATAAACAAAGTGAATGTCCTGGTGGCCCGTAGGTTAAGGAGCCCGCTTCTCATGCGGATGCGGGTTTGAAACCCGGCAAGTACCGATGTGACTTTTTCCACGTTATTTGTACTTTCTACGATTATTTAGACACCACTGACATCCGGTGATAGAAACATCGTGAGGAATCAACCAACCCGCCTTAAGCAAGCATGGTGAATTGATGCTCAAACCTTCTCCGTGTGAGAGAAGGCCTTTGCACAGCAGTGGATACTTATAGGCTGATAATGTAATAAGCAAAGTCGAAAAAAATCATCTGGTGTTGCTTATCATTGGCTAATCCGTTCTCTCGTTTTCCGTCCTATAACATGAATAATGATACTTTTTGCATTAAAATTTTGCAAGCTACTTATTTAATAGCCTGTAATGTCCCACTACTGGGCAAAGGTCTCCCCATCTTGCTTTCACACCTCCCAATCCTTCGACAGTCTCGACGATAGGCGTCTAGATCGACACGCCATCTTATCCGGGGCCTACCCCGCCTGCGCCCTCCTTCTTAATAATAATTAATTATTATAATTATTTAATTTTCAGGCAGTGACCCTTTGAGAATAATAGAAGAAATGACCCGGGATATCGTGATGGATGTCTTTCTCAACAAATACATACAGAATCTAAAGGATTTCTACGAACATAATTCTGTTGAAGTCTTACACTATAAATATGTTCGATAAACGACTGGAATACCAATATGTTTTGTTTTATTTTATTTATATTTTATACCTGAACATTAATAAGGTGATGTAACGCGACCTTGACTCTTTTGGGCACGCTGTTATCGCAGTGGTAAGCCTCTCTTTGAAGAGTTGCTAGAGAGACGCTATGGCGTCCTCAACTTTCGCCTAACTCAAGGCTTTTGTAGCTACTTTTTTCGGGTCAAGCTGAAGAAAACGCTGGATGTAGTCATTATGAAGACCACCCGCAGGACACAGTGGAGCATAAGGTGGCAGCGTGCTTGGGCTGAGCACTGCCATATCCGAAGGGGGGTCATCGGAGACGGCGACCTCTTCGCGTCCGGCCTAAATCGAAACTACTTTATCTCAGTACCCTGGGCGAGACAAGTTATAATAATATGATAAATTACACCCTCAAAAATAAACAAGGCTTATTGTTTATTTGAATATTTTTGACTAATGTGGAGAATTCAGAGTTTTATTGTACAATTAACAATACACTTTTCATACCTTAAGAGGTATATAACCCATAAAAACATTAAACTCAGTAAAACTAAATACATAGTGGCGTATTGTTTTTATTTATGAAGTATTAAAGAAAAATAAGAAAAATATCAAGGACCACTAATTACTAAATCATGACAGCTATCATATATGCATGTTGCATATAATTAAATATGTAAATAATTAAAAGCAAAATTTAATTATCTATTTTATTAACACTGCGTCACACAAATATCCGATTTCCTTACTTATTTGTTTGGATTGCGACCTGGCATGGTATAGCAGGACTGGCTATTTTATAGGTTCCTTCTCTTGATCTTAGCAAATACTGCAACCAAATTTCGTTTTTTTTTGTAACTTCTCCCGTCCAGGGTCGGGCAGGAGGGAGTGTCAGGCTCGTATTGACTAAAAACCCACCTCCGTTCCTTCTCCTGCTCTGGGCCGAGGTCGCGGTAACCGCGGGCGGGCGCAGCAACCGCGGCTGAACATCAGCTCTATAGGGCCCCGTCTGTGCTGGTCTATTGGCTCTGACGCGCGAGCGGAACGCTACGCGTATACAATACAATCAATAACAACACACAATCCTATTACAACAATCCTATTCATTATTTATTCCACACCTACATCAATCGAATTACTCAACAATAATTTATTTTGAAAACTATACTACTATACTATAATATTACATATATATTCTGATTATAATAATTAACAATTTGATTATGACTAAATGTTTTTTTTATCTATTCTTTATTACTACAATCTGTCTCCTTTGTGGGAGATACAGATCAAATGTTTGAATAGCTTTATAACAACGCTACAACCTCATCAAATTTTTGACGGATTTAATCACAAAAAGTGTTCTGATTTAAATATGCTGATTGCGTTTTTATTTTTGGGGTTCTTAGTACTAATTAGTTTTGCTTACCTATGTAAAAGCGTATACAACTATGAGATTAGAAAATAATAGGTTTAAATGTGTATTGTAAATAAAACAATAAAGAATTATTGTTTCCTATTTATCCTTGACCATTTTTATTATGGTTAAAGAAAATACACTTAAAATAGAATAGAATAATATTGACGTATCCGCTGTACAATCTGGTGTCGTGCATAGAGTTAGATTCTCAAGTTGAGCAAAAAGTTTATTTAAAGTTACTATATTTAGAGACTCATTCGGCCTTATTACAAAACAAGGTTTTACTTTAGTCTAGGACTAAACCATTGAGTCAGTTTTCGTATTTCGAATTGAAGGCAGATGACAATAAGATTCAAAATTCAAAACCCGACTCAATGTTTTAAACCTAGACTAAAGATAAACCTTGTTTTGTAATAAGGGGGTTATAGTATAATGACTATATGACAGTCCTATCGTATCGTTTTCGGCAAAAAGTTCTAATGGATTATTGTTATTAACGCTAAGATTAGCTATCAGCAGTTGTTTGAACTTAAATAAGGTGTTATAACAGCTTTCAATTTACAATCAAAAGCATTCAAAATCTCGCAATGGATTACCAAGTTTACTATTGACATAAGACAGTGAATAACCAAAAGGTCATGTTGGCAATAGGAACCTAAGGGATAATAAGATTAAGGTAACTGTATCTGCTCCTTCTGACAAGTACCAATTTTATTTATCCCAGTTATAAAGATTCTAAGATTATTTAGACATCAGTGAAGTACAAGAAAACACCGTGAGGACACTGGACTTATAACTTTTAATTATAAGTTTGAAATCGTTAATCCACCTTGAGGTAGCGTGGTGATTAAGTATAAACCTTCTTCGTGTAAGAAGAGGCCTTAGCCTAGCAGTGGGAACTTATAGGTTGGGGACAACGATGACGTATACAATAAAGGGAAAATTGTGAGGTAACCTTTACTTATAATTGAGCAAAGTACGGTGATTAATAGAATCAAAGTTGTTGTTCAACAGTGATCACTTTATAGGCTTTTAATCATGATTATAATATGCCAGTCATGATTTAAATTACGTAAGACTCAGTCTCAAGACAGAAAAAATAACCAGTAAAAGACTAGGACACCTAAGTGTTCTTAAGGACAGTAATTCAAATACCAAAATTGTTTATTATCTACAGAACCAGACAAAAATAATAACAAGATTTTTTAATGTTTTAGACAAAAATGTTTCTTTACGGTTCCTTGATTTTGTTTAACGCATATAAATACATTTTGCTTGTTATTAAGTTGATTTTGTCTAGAACGCCTTGAAACGCGGCTATCATTATGTTTGCGATACTAATTCTATTCTTATTTTCTGGCTTAATTGGCGTACAACCCGTTCCAAGTAAGTACCTATATTGATTTTAAATCTTATTTTCTGTGGCATTCGTTTAAATTTAGCAAACATACTTTGGCACTAGTTCTAAAATAGAATAAAATATAAATAGATTGATTCTTAATATTTAAAATGTCGTCGCAGAATTGATATAAAATTAATAAATTGATTAGGTATGTCCGTTCAATATTTATTGTATTTGAGAATCAAGCCTGTTATATTAACAATTAAGTACTGCATATTTTGTTAATTATAATCACTTTATGGCAACGGACTGACATTGAGATCTTTAATTCCCACACGAATAAATTCTTTGTTCTTCTACTAATTATTATTCAGAGTCCGGGTGTGATGTGTACGTATGTGAAAATAAAAGAAAATCACAGCGTAGGATTACATAATGACACAAAAAAATAATAGTAATTTTTTGATATGACATAAAATGAATTGTAACTTTTGTGTCACATCACACCCAGACTATGAATAATAATTAGTAGAATAACCAAAAATTTATTGGGAATCGAAGAACTCAATGTCAGTCCGATGCCTTAAAGTGATTATGTGCCATAAGGTGTCTTGGTACACGGATAGGCGTGTACCAATAAAAATAATCTAATATGATTTTTTTTTATGATTAATTGCCTTTTTTCAGCTCCAGCCCTTCAAGCATGTAAAAAAACTGATGACGAATGCCTGAAAAGCAATGTTAACACCATATTTAAACATTCCATAAAAGGAGATGCGGATTTAGGTATCAAAACTCTAGATCCAATGCATCATAAAGAAGTTGATGGACAATTAGGTGTCATTGAGTATCAGTTATATAATAGTACTGTTGATGGATTCTCAAACTGTGACGTGAAGAATGCAAAGTATGTATTGTTTATATATTTTTAATATGATAGGTTTGAAAACGGCCTTGGCGACCTATAATATCAAAGGAGTTACGAGTGCCTTGACAACCTTTTGGGGATTGAACATTACCAATTTAGGGTTTAAGCCCTTAGTGACGCGGCAAAACACAACGCTTTGGTTTTTCCACACCGATTTTCTTTGAGAGGTGCCGAAGCATGACTCTTCGATACATAATCAAGTTACGCTACTCCTAAAATAGATCTAAGATCTTATAAATTAAATTCATTTTGTATATAACTTCTTTTCTGCAAAAATAAGAGGAGGACCTCCGCAGATTAGAATGCAGATTCTTATTTTTATTTTTCTTAATATTTTATTTAAATTCTGTTTATATAATTTAGCTTATTTATATCTGTGAAAATAAATGTTCTAGAAAAGTCCAGAAATGTATGATGCTAATAATAATTTTACCGATTTTATTTTTAAAATTAATATTATTATGTTTTTTTATATTGGTACTCAGACATATCAAAACATTTTAAGTGTGGGAGAGCCATACTTCGGCACGAATGGGTCGGTTCGACCGTTGTGATACCACGGCCTCACGGCGAAACAACCCAGCGTTGTGTTTCGTCGTGTGAGTGAGGTTACCGAAGGCCCAACCCTTCGACTCACTCAACCCTTTCTCAATCCCTAAATCTCCAAATCCTTAATCCCTAAAAGGTCGGCAACGCACTCGTAACTCCTCCGTTGCGGGTGTCCATGAGCGGCGCTGATTGCTTACCATCAGGTAATTTGTTTAAGGCACAATTAAGCTTAAGTTTAATTTCAGGCTAGATTTAGAAAAACGTGAATTCAATTTCCGCATACTATGTCCAGTTCTAACTGTGTATGGAGTTTATAAGATTAATGGTACACTTATAGTAATGCCAATAGAAGGACATGGAGATTACAAATTAGTTTGCAGTAAGTTTCTTTTTTTTTATTATAGCACATTTAAAATACGAATTACGGTACAAAGCAGACAATTGTTAATGAAAAACAAAAGAAAACAGAAAAAGTTTCTAGAAAAGAACGTTAAGATCTTTGAAAACTGGTTAAGTAATTTTTGATTTAGTAAAATAAACCAGCACACAGTAAAGATCGATCGAGGAATCGATTATTGGAGGTACACAAAGGAAGTCGCACACGTTCCTAGGAGTGGTAGTCGAAGTGAAAATAAACACCATTTTTTTTTAAGAAAGACGACGTTTTCTGTTCTGTTAATGATTAGCATGCATGCACGTAGGTAGTAACAGTTACTGTTAAGCTTCCACATATTAGTACCTATCAAAACAAGTACAATGTGCATGCATTCAACAAAATTGAAGAAATAAATATTTTGCATTGAAAATCTCCTATTTTTTGAAGTCAGTTAAGCCTTTGACTACCGACAGAAAACTTTTGAAGGCAAATCCTCCGCTAGGCAGTCACCGGTGACTCCCATGGCGTTTAACGTGTGAATAAGTACATACTAACAATTATGCCATAATGATTGTTATTGAATCCTTTAGGAAAAACCAAATATCTAGAAATTCAATATGTAGAAAATGCTAATATCAAACAATTATCTTTTAACTAACAATTATTTATATCAAATTACAGAAGGCTACGATATACAAGTTGAAACTGATATAAAGATAAATCAAGATAAAGATGGAATAAAACACATGTCGGTGAAATATTTCAAAGCTGATGGTGATCTGACTGTTGGAATGACTACTGATCTACAAAATCTTTTTGATGGAAAACAACCACAATTAGGTAAGCTTTTATCCAAACTGAACTGCTTTTGGTCTTGAAATTCCAAATGCAAATTGTTAACAAGATATGTGAAGGGCGCAATAAATTCCCGGTCTAAGAAATTATGGCAGGAAATAATTCTTAATAATAAGTTCGGGACAGCCAGCTTCGGCACGAATGAGTCGGATCGACCAGAATGATACCACGGCCTGTCACAAAACCAGCGTTAAACAACCTCAGCGTTGTTTAACGCGTTGTTTTGCCGTATGAATGAGGTTACCAGAGGCCTTAATTCTCCACATCCCCCATCTCTTCCCAATCCTTAAATATCCGAAACCCTTATCCACAAAAGGCCGACAATGCTCACAATACCTCAATCCCTAATCTTCAAATCCCTAATCCCTAAAAAGTCGGCAACGCACTCGTAACTCCTTTGGTGTTACGGTTGTCCATGAGCGGCACGATTGCTTATCATCAAGTAATCCGTCTGCTTGTTTGCTGACTTATCCCAATAAAAAAGAGTGTGAAAGCATAAGAAAAAAAAGATTCATTAATGTGTACTTACTTTTTTAATGCAACTTAAATTCAAAACCGTTCTTAAATCTATATTTTCCATAGCAAGAAGTAAGCAAAATTCTAAAGCAAGAGCCAGTTCAGAGTACTTCGTTAGTTTCTAACTAACGGCAAATTAACTCGTCTCATATTTCATGGTGCTAACAACACTGGCGTATGGGTACAGCTGGTACATATTGACAAAAGGTGGAAAGGCTGACCTTTTGGAAAATAGAGGCTGTAACTCGAAAGCATTAAAATCTAGATTGAGTCGAGTTTCAGAAATGTTAACTAGAAACGAAGAAACCTTACTGCTAAGATAATAAGGGGATGTTTTGTGTTAAGAAGATTCTTTAGCATGTCAATCTAGGAAAACCATTTATACTATTAAAATCAAAATTATACCCTGCATTTTCATAGCAAAGGATATAAACAATAAATTGTAATATTTATCCCATCAATAACGTTAAAATGTTTTCTAAATTTCTCTCTTGATTCTGCTTATTCCTATTTTGTTCTAAAATAAACATTTCAACTGATGCCTGTACCTAATCATCCATCATTTAGTGATTAGCACGGCATTTTGTTCTCGTTACTTAATTGCCACTTACCTTAACTTAAACTGAGCCCCTACATTATTTGGGTCAGCGGTTTTCGTTAACTAGGCCATGCCAAAGATCCTGTGGCTTTTCTAATAATATATTATGGGTAGCCAGTCCAGTTTTACGGCAATAAATTGGATTAACTGAAGTGTAATATACTGAAACGAAAACTTTTCTGTGACTTTTATTAGTATTAACTTTTATTTAAATTGTTTGTTCAGCAATTATTATAAATGGCTGCCAAAGGTTGCAGGTTTTTCTTCTCGTATTTTGTTTTTATTATTTTGTTGTATATTTAATAGGTGAAATATTGCTATAATGTTTTAAATTCTAAATCAATAAAATGAAAAATATGATATTATTAACAGTAATTATCTATTTATTATCTGTTCAATATTTTAAAGACATTTGGAAACTATTGTAAAAAAATATGACTTTTTTCCCAATAAATTCCAATTATGTTTCTATAATACGGTAGTTTCCAACTAGTGAAATTCAATACTTTTATCCAAACGTCAAAAACGGTACTTTTCGATGAAATTTGTATGAAAAACTGAGTTATGACGTCATAACATTTATGCGTCCAAATAGCTTACTTATTTCTTAAAATAATTATTAGCTACAAAAAGTCTAAAACTTAGTGTATCGGCAGATCGATGAATAAAAGTATAGTCATTTTTCAATATTTTATTGTATTGAAACGTCGAATTCATTTATTTTTGACCTAGGAAACTACCTAATTCATACATTTGGAACTCTGACAATGTTCTAGTCACTGTAGACATCTGAAATCAAACGACGGAAAAGAAAAATGTGTTAGTGCCTTTATGCCTTTATTCAAAACCCCTACTACTTTTACTTCTTCAATTTCCTTACTTTTCCCCATAAATCAAACGCACGGACTCACTGTCTCAGCATACATAAATAATTCTTTTGCTTAATGGACCTTAAGAATGTTTATGACTTAAGTTTTATGGCTTACGTTATTCAGTTCAAACTGTTCCTGCCTTACCATTTTGCTATGAATAAATATAATGGATAAGGTATTTATATAGTAGTATTTATATAAGCAAACGCTAGAGTTATAGAAAGTTTACCTACTGCGAATGCCTAATTCTTAAAGATAAAAGATAAAATATAAAGTATATTGGAACCACTACATAGTTATCCGGGGTTATATTAATATGGTTACGGGCAAATCTTAAAGACTTACTGGCAACCCAGCTCTTTTCAGAAGATGGATCCGGTTGGATTTTAGTCAGCGAGAGTCTGACACTCTCTTTCCCATCCAGAGTAAAGGGAGTCAATTAACAAAAGAAATGGCGAAATGCAATCAAATTGATGGTTTTAATTTATTACAATCTTACTTAATTCAATATTACCTTTGAAAATATGCATAATGTCTAGTTTAACAGGCAGCGATCCGGAATAATAATATAAATAATATAATATAGGTGTCAAGCAGCTAGTCTAGGTTTTGTTAAATGAAATAAAATTTAAAATGTTCTAATGTTCTAAATGTATAATTTCTTATATTTACAGCTAAAGATGTTCTTAAATTTACAAATGAAAACTGGAGTCCAGTAGCGAAGTTGCTTCAGGGGCCCGTGTTCAGCGCGAACTTTGAGAAGATTATCAAGAATATGAATAAGTATTTTAAGCATATTCCTTTAAATCAAATTATAGAGGAGTAGGAGAGTTATTAATATAAATTAAATATAATTAAGATGCTTTCTTTATATTTATGTGTGTTTTTAGTTAGAGAATAATAATAAGAAAAATATTGTTATTATGTAATGTAAAGGTGTACATAACTGGATACGGCTGTGTCTTTATTATTATTCTGGTCAATTTCCTGTCAAACAAGCAATAAAAATGTCAATAAAATACTTATTGTGTATTTTCCATTTATACTCGTACCTACTATTGAGTTACTTCTGAGTTTGTTTCGTCATCTCTAATCAGAGTAGTGGTATATGATCAGAAAATCTGTTTATAACAATAAGTATGTTTGTTGAATTCAGGAATCAATAATATTTCTGAATTGTAAGAGCGTTATCTGGTTTATTAAACAAAAATCATTAATTTAAAACTTACTAAAAAATCAAGCACTCAAACATACCTATCACTCCTTACAATTAAGAAACCATTATTGAGAAAAAATATCTTTAACAAAATAAAAAATGTCTTCTATAGGTACTAATATTATATAGAGTTAGTAATCAACAAATATACATATCAATAACAGTAATATTGAGAAATATTCAAGCTGAAAATATTTTTATTACTTTATTTAATAAATATTCTAATTAAAAATACAATCTTTTTACACCCAAACCATCATAACAACATCCAACACACCTTTATTTTTTGCAGCCGCATATTTGTTGGTACTTATTAAAGATAACGAATTAATGACTTAAAAACAGTTCAAATTCAACAACTTGTATGTACTTGTGTATCCGCTTACCATGAATAATATTTCAATAAATAACAATAATTTTTCTTTTATAAACTGGAACGCACGCCTTCCAAGTACAACTTACAGTCGCCACACTATTATTAAAATAATTATCTCTTCGTATTACTGTCCTTTAATAACACTTAGATATCTTTAATAACAAGTAATTTTCATAATTCACCACTTTTGTACTAATAATACGGTTTAATCGTCGTCGTGTGACTTGTAATTAATAAAAGACAGATGTAACAAGTGACAACAGGGTCCGTGAACTGAATTTTAGTGATAGCGTAAACACTTAATCTTTTCTTTCTTGTACCCACAATTCACCATTCTGACGTGGACTGGTCATCTGGAGTTGCGGGGTAAGCGCAATGAGGTACCGGGGCCCTCGGCCTAGAGCAAGAGAACGAACGGGGGAATTTTTAGTCAGTAAAAGTCTGAGACTCCCTCTCACCTAGCCCTGGGAGGGAGAAATAATTTGTTGATCTTCACATCTCAAAAAGAAGGTTGTAAGGTAGAAAATGCATTCGGCATTCAGTCCACTATTGTGCAAAAGTATTAAAATAAATAAAAAAATGTTATGTTTAAAACCACGAGATACAACCTCTTTTGCGAAAAGACCGCCACAACCTCCTAAAACCGCTGCTACTCCTGTAAGCCAGGATCTACGGAAAAAGCAACCATGAAAACACAGAAACACTTAAGACCAGCACGTCCCTGAGACATGAACGACTGTCTAGGATTCGAAAACGAAAGAAATGAGAAGATATTGTTACGTGCCTGACGTCACGTTCCTGACTATGCGGGCTTGGGTTACGGGATTGGATGAAATGAAACACTAATACCGGTTTTCAGACTTTCTATTGCACTTAAGTTACAGCGTCCACGGAGTTAAGTTATCGGCGTTCCTCTCCAGCAGAGTCCGGCCGACTGACACAACTTTGCCGTTCACGCTGACTTAACTCACTTAACTGACTGCACTTCACTATTTCACTGCACTTCACTATTTCACTCACTTTTCTTCTTTTTCACTTCTTCCTTTTCTTCCGAATCGCTTTAGACTTAGAACTCAACTGCTAGCGGTGAGCCGCAGTTCCGCTTATATACCCCCGGTCAGGTTCTGGAACATTCAATTTCGTTATTCTTTTTGATCGTCATGCCTCCAGAACCTTCCAATAATTTCGTTATTCATTTTTATTTATTCTCCTTCTCGCTCTTTAATTTTTCATTTCTTTCACACAAATAATTCCAGAAAGTTCGACAAAACTTCTATAAACTAAAAAAACTTCATGTTTACGGCGGGACTCGAACTCGGGGTCTCTGTGGTGTAATCCACACGCCTTACCGATTACACCAACTCGTGTTGACAATCCATGACGAAATTTACAATCTCTAGGCAACGTTTGACAACCATCCATTGACGTCATGATGTCAAAGAGTTTGAACCACGGAGTAAGAACAAAGAGGAGATGTTGTAATAAGATTTCTCTAAGAAACATCGCGTGATATTTTGCGGGGTGAGGGGGTATTAGACTCCGCCCATTTCCTTATTTGCCATCTGCCGGTGTATAGCCAAACTACATGCTCGTTCAATTTATTTAGTTTTTTAGTTATGTAACTATTTCACAATAGATGGCACTAAATATAAGATGCAACAGAGTCGTACTCAGAATCTCCGGGTTTTGTTTATTTTGATGAATGAGAATCATTCTACATTCAATAAAAACCTTTTTATTGAAACTTAAAGTGCTGTATTGGTAAAAAAACACTTTTATAGATTGTTTATGAAGCTATTTCAGCTTCATAAACAATCTATAAAAGTGTTTTTTTAATAATAAGAATTGCCTGATGAGTTACTTTTGTGCTTTAATATGTTAAACGCTTCTGCTGTAAATCCGGCTTCACCATTAACACTTTCAAACCATTTAGAAATAGTTCTTGGATGCGGTAAGCAAGTGTCGAAAGTTTTTCTGACATATGTGTAAGCATTTGGTGAAAAATAATAGAGTGTCAAAGCGAATGATCGGAGAGCAGGAGAATAAGTCTTCTTCATTGGTTTTTTTTTATGTTTTGCTAACTGCCGCCCAACCAAGTCTTTCAACTTAACATTTATTGATGTTAAAATTTCAGATTCTTCTCCCAACAAAAAACGTTTGCTTTCCAAATCTTTAATTAAAGCACTTAAGTTTTGAACCTAAAACAAAAGAAAAAGTATTTGATTCACAAAAAATCTAAAGGACTGCGTGGGGTAAAGTAGCGCCAGTACCTTTTTCTTCAATCGATTAACTTTCATTTGGAGTCTCCTGATTTTTAATCTATCTGCTCTTGCTTTCCAATGAAGTTGTGCTATTTCTTGCTTTAGCTTTTTCTTTTTTGGCGTATCATTAAATATCAGAAATTCATTTAATTCATTAGTAGGTGTGGTAGGCTTTGGAGATGACATGGTTGGCTCATTTAAGTAATTTGTAGGTGTGGTAGGGTGTGGAGATAATTTTCTTTTAAGCTGTAACATAAAGGATGAAACAGTCATAAAACAATTTAAATGAAATTGATTCATTCTCCCAATATAAATAAGACTAGTAAATACAAACTACATTGAAACAAACCGACAAATCCAGATTCAAACAAGGTAAAGTTCCCTTCTTTAATTTTCTATGCCTTTTTTTGGTCACTATGAAGTCTTCATTGTTAAAATGGCAAGAACAAATTTTGGTATATTTAGTGGGAGACCAGTCTTCTCTATGAATTTTTTTTATCCATTGTTGACGTAAATTTTCTTCAGATGGAAATCTAGAGCATACATCATTAAAAACAATTTATTTATTTATTTATTTATTTATTTATTTATCAAAACTTATTCTATCTTTACAGGGTTTTCCCTAATGCGACAGATAAGACCTTAAACTAAACTTAGACTAAAATAAACTTCATACCAAACTATCGAAACAAACTTACTTAATAATAAACAATTAAATTATAACAAATTATGAGACAAAACTATTTTATACATACCTACGTAAATACTTATTTCAAACTTAAACTACACTACGTTAGAGCATAAATTTGTAGATAAATGTTTTAATATTAATAAATTACAAATTATTTCGCTTGTAGCATAATATATACAGTAATAACCTTGTGAATTCACCCAATGAACACGTAAACACATCGATCTTTGTTTGTAACTCGTTTATGATACGGATAGCTCTGGTAATAGGTGCCCTGGCAAGTAAGTTGGTTCTGGCTGTAGGTACCAGCAGCAGAGGCGGGGACGCGCCCCGCCGCCCACGTAACGGTCCGGCACACACCAGACTCAAGCGCTGCAATACCCCGGATTACTCTTAATTCCACGAAGCACCTTCACTAAATAGGCACCTAACGTAAACTCCCGTCGGACATGCAACTGATTATCGCCAACCATGCCCAGGACAAACAAAGTGGGATACATCAGTGGGTAAAATGGATAAACCCCATATAATTTCTGATATAAATGGCGCGTGAACTTGTTCTGAATGCGCTCCAACATCACCGAAACATTTAATGAACTTGATATTTTGAAGTACCTTAAATAAATTATTGTAGACTAGCAACTTAGTTTGAATGATTCCCTTTCATTCGCGACTTGAATACAACAACAACAAAAGCTTTAAAAATATATGGCTCCTAAGTACTGCCCTGTCTTTTTGCTACTATTATGTTTGTCATACTACTAGACAATAGATGGCGGCCTTTTTATAAAATAATATAAAAACTACAAAAATAATATTTTGCCGATAAAAGGATCTGTAGGAATGTATGTTAAACAAATTACTGTACAAATCAGTATTTGGATACATCAATACTGAACTCTGTGTACCTATATATTATATATTCAATTCCTTTAACAAAGTGTCGCCATCTAGTGACGGGTAGAATTATGTTTGGAAACGCTGAGTCTAGGTGATTTTTCTAGAACAATTTTAATAAATTACGTACAAAATAACTTACACATGAAAAGTAATGCCATCCATAGCACCGAAACGTTTGTCTGAGTAGTTTTTACAGGATAAAACACAACACTTCATTTTTTTTTGCTTCTGGACTGGATTATCGTGGAATTTATCGGAGTTCAGTACAGAAGCAACGACAAAATTACACTGATTTAAGCCACGCCCACCTTGATGACGTGAGGGCCGACTTGTGTCACAGGGCCGAGTTGTTTAGGCCGTCTCCTCTTTGTTCTTACTCCGTGGTTT